GAAAGGTTTTAAAGCTAACTAAAGGAGATGAGGTGTCTTTAATTAGGAAGCCTGGAAAGCATAACCTACAAGGAAGGTGTTCTAGTCAGCAGTCAGTTGACGAAGCGAGGCGCTGACGAGGGAGAGCTCTGACCTGCAAAATGGCAACGGCTTCTTCACAAAAGGAAGCCTTTAGGATATGTGATTAGTTACTACTATTTGCATATTAATTACTCTTAGCACAACGCAAACTCCTGTTTAAAGACGGTGTTATCCTTAGAGTATGTAAACCAGCACAGGAAGCTTTGCAGGCTGCTCTCTGCACCCCACCCCTCCCCAAGTTTGGTGTAAACTCATGTCACGAGATCGTTTCAGGATGTTTTTGAAATTATGAAAATGCTTCTTTTTTTTCCCTCCTGCCAGCCTCTGATTTTACTTTGTGTGTGTGTGTTTGCTTGTTTCAGGCACTCAGGGAGTCGCGCCCCCCCCGCCAGCCCCTGTTGTCGGGTTGCAGACTCCATCCACCGGCCTCTTGGGTGCCCGGCCTGGTTTGATACCACTCCAGCGACCGCCGGGAATGCCGCCCCCTCCTCTGCGGCGGTTTCCCTTGATGCCACCGCGACACATGCCTCCCCACATGATGCACAGAGGGCCCCCGCCGGGGCCGGGGGGCTTCGGGATGCCTCCTCCCCATGGAATGAAAACTCCTTTCCCACCACCGGGTCACTTTGTGAGACCCGGAGGGATGCCGGGAAGCGGGGGGCCGGGCGGACCCGAGGATAACAGAGATGGGAGGCAGTTTAGGAACGACAGGCAGACGTTCACGCCTAACAGAGACCAGGAAAGGTATGGCAGGAGATCTTTTGGAAATCGGGTAGAAAACGATCGTGAGCGCTACGGTAACCGCAACGATGACAGAGATCACGAGCGACTCGGTAATCGTGACAGGCGAGACTGGGGACGAAGAAGCCCCGAGCGCGATAGACACAGAGACTTGGAGGACAGAAACAGGCGGTCCAGTGGCCATCGAGACAGAGAGAGAGATTCGCGAGACAGGGAGTCTCGCAGAGACAAGGAAGAAAATCGAGGCAAGGAAAAACCGGAGATGACAGACAGGGCAGATGGCGACAAAAACCATGAATCTCATAGCGGCAAAATGGAAGATGCAGACATTGTTTCAGAACTTCCCGCGGGAGAGTCTGAACCTACAGGTGTAAAACCTGTGGAAGAGTTACCATCCGAGGCTACCTCATCTGTGGAACAGGCGGAAAAGGATATGGGCTCAGCGGCGGAGGCTCCTCGCTAGAGACTGGCACTTGTCGAAAGAGGACAGTGACATTTGTTGGAGTGTAGAGCTTTAGAGTTGTACAGTCTGCTGTATTATATTTGCTTCCGCTTATATCACAGCCCCTCAGTAGTCGGTGGGGAATTGTAAGCAATTTGATTGCTTCCCTTCTATTTAAAATAGCCACAACATAACATGAGATACTGAAGATATGATTAAAATATTACCCATTTTTGCTGTAACTTTTTTAAAGTTTTGACTTTAAAAAGTTTACAAATCAGAAGTAGAAGTGCTTTCTATTTTTTTTTTAATTTAAGAAAAGGTAACGGTGAAAGCTCCTCAAAACAATAGGGATGTGTTTTTAATAAACTCTATTTTCGTAACAAACTTTAACGTGTGCTATTCTTCCTACGCTGCACTGAAGTGGAAAAGGAGTGTTCAACATCTTAAAGTTTGAACTGTTAATGCTGTATTGGAGTCTAAATTAGACTGTTCTGTTTATATTTGTTAAAAGAAATACATCTGTTTGTGTAGCTATTCACAGAAGCAAATTTTTATTTGTAATAGTCATCTTGATTTTTAGATTGCTGCATTTTAATGATTACTTGACCATACTAGGTAAAAGTTAGAGGTTTTAAAATGTTAATTGAAGAGTTACCTGTTTAGTGTTTGCAATGCAATCAATTCTTTTTTTTTTTTTTTTCTCCCCCCCCCCCCCGCCCCCAACTGGTTCTGTGGTAAATGTTGCCCTAATTAGCGTTTTTTAAAAAAAAGTGGACACCTTCAGGCATACTCAAGTCTGCTCTGCTTGTAACATTATAAAATTACTGTGTGTGGTGGGCTAGGAAGTGCACCAGTCCCGCATCTTTTGTACTTGTTATTCATTGATGCTTTTTTTTTTTTTTTTGGAAAGTGGGGTGAAAGAGAAATCAAAGACACCGAAACACAATATAAAATGCTAACCTATTTTATTTGAAACGGGGCTGGGAAAAGGACGGGAGGCGGGAGGGTGCGTGAGGATTTTTAAATGCTGCCTCTTCATTCACCCCAGTCCGGGCTGCTACTGTTGTCTGTGTTAATGATCTCTACCTCCTGTAATCCCGCAAGAGGTAGGTTTAAAATTTTTACCCACCTAAGCATTGTACCTATCGGCCTGATGGACAATGAGGGCATTTTCTCCTACTTCTGTAAGTTCTACCACCTTCTCTCCATGTGACTGAAGTAGTAATTTGAAGAGGGCAAATAGTAGTGCTTGGGGGTCGGCCCTTTGGGTGCAAACAGCTCCGAAAAAGGGCTGCGCTGCACTGCCAGAGCCCTGCTCCCTCTGCCCGCCCCATCAGCCGCACACAGGCCACCAGGCTGGGGTGGCACCCGGCCTTCAGGTGAAGCTTGTTTAACTCTGAAGCATAGTGGAAAAATTGTATGAATCCTGTGCATATTTAATTTTTTAAATTTTTTTTTTCTCCTTGATATAGGTGTGTTCTACTTTTGAAGTTGGGTTTTTTTCCCTAAAAGTGAAGGGCAGCTGCTTTCTTACATCAGTACTTTTTCATAGCTGCTCTGCGGCAGAGGGATTTTATTCTGGGGGAGGGAGGGGGGAGGGAAAGCAAATGTGGAGTTATGGACTGGGGGAGAGGACATATATTTTTATGTTCTTGCAATAGCAGAATAAAGAGAGAAAAAAAAACTGTTTACATACTTGTAGTGAACTCAACTTCCATGTGTTAAAACTTGTGTCATTAATATTTGTTTCATGCTGGGCCAGTGGAACTAACTTTTTTCATACAAAACCAGACATTTATGTCTTACGTTTAAGACTTGTCTTAGTAAAAACTGACATAATTCTGTAAGGAGGTAGGATTTTTTTTTTAATGAATACACTTTATTAAAGGATTTGAAGACAAGAATGAAAGACAGAAGGCTTATCTGTTCACACAAATACCACCTCACGTTGTCTCCATCTCCCTTTCCAGGAAATTGAAATCAAAGCCAAGAAAAACCTTGGGTATCCTTTGCAGAACAGTTTCTTACTGCCTTTCACAGCAGTAATTGTGTAATAATCCTGCTGGGGATGCATCATGCGTACAGCATCACCAGCGTAACGGTACCCTACCCTTCTACAGCTACCAAACTTCTGGCTTTATAAAGTAAGCCAGAAATTTGTACTGAAAGATTAACTAGCTCAGTGTAAGCATCCGCTGCTGATAAAGAGACTACAGTGTTAGCAATTAATACCTCGGTTATGGAGCCTGTGCCTGCCAGTTACAATGATTTGTTTGTACATAAACTGAGCGTTACTTATGCGTCCTTCAATACAGCATTGACTTGTGGCTAGACTGTTAACCCAACGAGAGAAAACAGGCTTGAAAGTCTAGATCTGTATACATCGGGCTTTCAAAGCGACAAGGCTCAGCACTGAGAAGAGCTGGGAGCAGAGGCAAGCAGCAGAGCTGCCAGAGCTCTCATTCCACTACAGCTCCACCTACGGTTGCCAAGCTCTTGCCGTTTTGCCCCCTTAGGGAAAGGGCAGACAACATAACCTTCCTCTGAACTTCTGAATGCCAAGAGATGATGGTGGTATTTGTGCGTGTTCAGTGTTCTGCATCACCCGATGCTCAAGGAGGGAGCTGAAAAGTGCAGTCACTATCTTAATTCTGCTGCAGCAGCTAAATCAGAGCATAGTCTAATCCACTGGAAGAGGTACAGGTGGGTAGAGGCTGTACACACAATTGTTTGCCACCTGCAGCGAATGTAAGTTTAAAGTGTTTTTACAGTATTCTTGCTATACTACCAAAAGCCATTCCATCTGTAACATGCTACACTACAGTCTGGGTGTCTAGAACTACAACCAACTACTTCCATGAATATCTCTTATGTACAAGATAAAGGAATGTTGATACAAGTCTTCATTAAAATTAATAATTTTCTCTATTAAAAGACTTGGAAATCTGTGTTTAAGAAGTACATAGAAGAAAGTAACAAAAGCTGGCACTGGGACACAGTGATTACACTGCTGAAGAGCTTTATGAAATTAAATGTGGAACTTCTAGACTTTTTTAAGGAAAGACCTGTTCCATACTCCTGCATAGCCTGAAGAAAGGCACTGTCCTTACCAAAGCATCCAGACTGCCACGGCCCACCAGGCCACAACCACCCAACCCACCCAGACATCCAGATGAGGCACAGGGACACATGTTGGAGCCAGACCCCTCTATAAGCTTAAGGCATCTCCACAACTCACACATACACACTCTGCAGTCATATCTGAGCATCACAAGTGTTACACACCATGACCTTTTACAGCAAGGTGTTTCTGCAACACAGCAGTTGTCCTTCAGTACACAAACTCCCTGGCTGCAACATGGCAAGGGGATCAGGTTGTTTCCACAGAGCATGGCATTGTCACAGGAAAACATATGACAATGTAACAAGAAATATGCTGATTGAGCTCAGGTGTTAGTTGTTCTGGTGTTACTGGCAAGGGACAACTTGAATGCTGTCGGTATCTGGCAAATGAACTACTGACATTATGACATCCAAGCCTACTTCTCCATGTCAGCAGGTAGGGGGTTGGTGGGTTTTTAGTTTGTTTTCTTTTTAATATACAGGGAGACCAAGGTGTATTTGCCCAGCAAGTTTATTACACAAGTATGAAACCTACAAATGCTGCAACTTTGCCAGGAGGAAGCCCTGATACACACAGTGCCTACTGCTGTTTGGTGAGTAGTTTTGCCAAAGCTCATAAGGCTAATCCTCCAAATCACACTATGTACCAGAAGTTTTGGTGTTCAGGATGTGATCACTACTAAACATCTTCCATTATGCAGAATGGGAGTTCCAGTTAGTGAAATTATACTTAATGGTTACAGCAGATGCTTTAGCAGAAGACTAGAGAGACATTCCATCAGGGTCACTTTAATTGTAATATACATCATACAAAATTAAGTCAGTCTTCACCAGTTAAAGTGATACTCAGAATGCAGAGTAGTAACGAGATTAAGTGATAAATCTTTTGCTTGCACAAGGAAGGGCAAGTACAGCATTTGCAATGAAATACAGCCCACACCACTCATCGTAAGCATTTCAGGTACAATACTTAGCTCTTCGCTATTCCAATCACACCACAAGCTAAACGCGGGCCAGCATTTCCAGTTAATTTGCTCTCGTTGTCTCCCCCTCTACCCAGGTCATCGCGTTTTTCATGGACCTAAAAGAGAATTGAAGATACCTTAATTCATGTTCTCGCATAACTCATCAACATTTTTCATTATTCACATTAGTAGCAGCGGTGACAGCAGTATTGCCAGCCACCAGCAAACTGTTACACAACAGAGAACCTATTGTAATTATGTAATGCAGCATGAGCATCAATTTGGCATTCTAAAAAATTAAGACTAGACTTTTCTAAAAAGCTATGCTGCTTTCAGCTGAACTTGTTTAAACTGGATGTCAACAGAAACCCATGTTTCAAAAAAGTCATTATGAGTCCAAGAGCAAACTTGGACTTGACATTCAAGGTCACACTTACAACACACACAAGGCTGACAGCCATCTGGAGTGCTGCACTGCACATTTCCCTGCTCCTCGGCCAAGCCTGCTTCCTGCAGCAGTATGGTGATCTCAGCACGTGCTTGGAGTCCCAAGGGAAACAAGACTGACGATGCTCGTGGGTGGCCAAGTCCACTCAGCCTCTGCCTCCCTTCTTCCCAGGGACACCATAGCACAAGTCACACCAAACCAGTACTAGTGAGCAGAGCCCCAAAGTGCCCACTGCCCTGCCTTTCAGTGACAGCGTTTGTGCCAGACTGCCAGTTCCTTCCTCAAATCACATTGCTTTAGTCACTCACAGATGGAAGAAGCAAAGTTAAATGGGGAGGAACATCTTCAGAAGGCAGGCAGAAAGTTAAGATCTCACGGCAGTGAAGTGCCATACCAATACAGAGAAGACTTCCAGGCAGGGATTCAAAGAAGTCTCCACATTAGAAACCTTGCACCATAAGTTTGCTAACAAACACCAGGGACTGGCCTCTAGAATCAAGAAGTCTCCACTCACTGTCAAGACTGGTCTAGAGTTCCCTAGAGCATCCAAGTAAGTACCAAGACACTTACCACCATGGTACGTCCGACAATGCAGTGTGGTCCACTAAGAGAAATGATGGAATCTTCTATTTCCACTTCTGCCACTCCTCCTTTGGCGGTCACATTGCCAAGATCTCCCACATGCCTACACAAGATGTAGAGAAACTCAAAAAAATTGGGTTGAATTGAAAGCTCTTCTAAGTGATGGCCTGGACAATACAATACCCATGGTTACTATACTCAAGTACTCCAACTTATCTTAAAGAGTACATGTGTCCTCATTTACCACCACCAGTCAATCTTGACCACTTTCACTATTTTAACTTCTTTAGTTCAATGGATGATTAAAATTCAGTCCTAGGTAGAACTTGAAACTGGAAGGGTAATCAACTTTGGGGAAAGGAATGCCCTCACTCCCTAACAAGCCAAGTGCGCAACTCATAGCCAAGAATTCCTCCATGCTGACAGCATCTCCCTCTGCTCAAAGAAAGCCTCTCAAATTAGGTGAAATAACCTTTCCTGCACATACAAGGCTTGGTGTAAACACCACCGCTATTCTTAAGAGCTTTTAATGTTTATCACAAATCAGCTATTCCACAAGCAGCTGGAGGGTTTAAATAGTATTAGTAAAAGCAGTTTGTCAAATGACAGGTCAAAGGGGATGCACAAAGTGCTAATCAGTACCAACAATGACCATTCCAGTTTGCTTGGCACCTTCCCCACACACTTGGCATTATACCCTACCACACAGCTTTTAATCAGAGCTAGACCTCTGCTAGGACTTCCCTTAAGAACTAAACTTCAAGCGGTCCAGTTTTCACCCAACTTCTGGACATTCCAGTATATTGCTTCTGACACATCTGCCTCAAATAAACCATTCACTCAAAAGACAAGTTGATGATGTTCTGCAAGACATTCTATCCAGATTCAGAACACTGAATACCAACTTGTTTCTAAAACTCCACGCATGCAGGGTGACCAGCTCAGCTCACTGAACACTAACTACCAGCATCTTCAACAGCATAGCACCATGTATACTTCATACTTTTAATCAAGTCCTATAAGATCAGGTCAAGAGCAGTTTTCCCCTTTAGGAATTTGCTTGATTTAAGCTTCCAGGAAGCTTCAGTCCAATTGTTTCAATTCTATACTGATAAAAGCATGATCTAGTTCTTGTACCTTCCTAAGGAATTCCCCAGCCTAGAGCTGCATGAGCAGGCAGGTTACACCAGATGCAGGATTTGACAATCCAGAACCAGCAGAAGACAGGATGTTCATGCAACTTTGACCTTTAGCACTGGAGCAGTTGGCTGCCAGCAAAGGCCCCGAGCACACCATTTCATGCTGCTCTGTCAGGCAGACAGCTGGCTAGCAGCCAGCTTGCTTGGTCTGGCATGCAACTTATCACTCAGGTACGAATTTATCAGTCACAGAAGGTGCAGTTACAGATATAAATGTGAGCATTCAAATGCTATTGACAATGCCAAGTTGGCATCAATGCTACTCCAGACCCTACCTGTGCAAGGCCAGCCTATCTTTTACACTTGCTCCTAGCTGCACTCACTACTACAGTGGCCATCAGCTCTTGTGCAGCCCGTTCCCAGTCTCCAAACAGTCAACATACTATACAAACCAGTTGCTCAGACATCAGGTCTCGAACATGCAAGGGTTCCCTGAAGGTAACTGGACTATGAAAACTGCTTCCAGTAGAAGAACTAGGTCTCAGCTCCCACTGAGGTACAGAGATACTCAGCATAAGCATCAGACCCTATACTGCACACAGCCCCTAAGGAGTACGTACTGTAGGTAGTACAGTACCTAAGCTAACAGGATAAAAACAGCCCAGCACACCCAATAAAAATTATTTCCTCTTCTCCCCAAGCTGTAATAAAATCAAGAATACATCCCAAAGACTACATTTTACCCATATTTTTGCAGCCAAGGTGTCTAACAAATTGCTGTAAGAGTTAGAGCTTTTATTAAGTGACCTTATTAGTCCTGCAGGAATTACCCATTTTATTCTGGTATTTTCCAAGCACAAAGTAGCACTTAGAAGGCTGCTGCATGGAGTAGCTACCCAGTAAGAGGCCAGGCACATTAAACTCACCTTTCTGCATCATTTGGTCCACCATGCTGCTTGCCTTCAGGATTGAAATGAGAACCTGCACTGGTACACCCTGAAACAGAACACAGCCATCAAAAGTAGATTTTTTTCAAGTAGCCAGTTTAAAAATCTGTTGCTTATGTAGTACATCCAGGTAGTCCTCCTATAGCCAGAGGCAGTGAAGTCACTAATGACGGAATAGCTACTCTCCTGTTAAATGTTTCACTAATCCTCTGGAGGTAAGTAACCTACTACAGATTTACAAGTTCAATGAAGTAAGATTATTCATTCTAGAACACTCTGGGCTCAGTTGAAAGCTTTCTTATTTCTTAATGCTAGGTTATAAAAGTATTTAGGTTAGTGCTTGATACATCAGATCTCGATGTATCTAAACGTGTTCAAAGTATTAATGAGAAGCAATTCCTTAGGAAATGTCATTATTTCTTAACACAGATTTGCAGCCACAAGGCTCAGGTACACACATACTAGCTGCTGCTGCAACAATAAGAGAAGCTCTTTAAAGCTGAGCAATCACATTACAGCTGTAGCTCAAAAGCTTGGACAGACACCTTACCATTTGTATTGTCACCAAATTCATGGACATGGAAGCCATGATCTCCATCAGTCAAGCCACTGATTCTTCCAGTAACTTTTACTGGTCCGTTACCCTTTAATGAAAAGAATTTATTATCACCAAAATGACTACAGAATTAAATGACATTGTCAAATGAAGCTTCCTAGTCAACAGAAAGCACTAGAGACTCCACTACAAGTTCAGTTACAAAGACACAAACAATTACCATACATTAACAGATTCTATATGCCAATACAGTATTTCACAGAATGTTTGCATTCACAGAAT